AACAACCTAATTGCTTTTCTCTTTTTTAACACTCTTTAATTGTTCATGGGTATGATCTACTTTTTTATCTCAGATGATGTATTATAATGAGTTAAAGTCAGAGCAGTTGTTCTCAACTTGTATGCTTTTAGTGTTGAAGATTGCTTCTTCAGATACCAGCAGACTCGCTTACCTGGAAGTTTCTCAGTGTTTTTTTTCTGCCTCTCATATAGGTTTCCATGTAGTCAGGCACTATTGCACTTTTAAATGTAATTTGGAATAAATTTAAAAAGAAAATGTTTGAAACAGTGTAATTCTTAGCTTTAAAAATTCGCCTCACAATAAGTTGGCTACAGCGGGTCCAGTGAGGACTTTAGAGTTGTTTTCATGACATAGGGCCTGGGTTCCTTCTAAAATCTAAAGATTAATTTGAGTCACCAAGATGGCTGGTGATCTGGGTTGCGTGACCTGTGAGGAGAGGCTGGAGTAACTGGGCTTGTTCAGCCTAGAGAAGAGAAGGCTTCAGAGAGGTGCATTTGGAGCTTTCCAGGGTTTATGAGGAGGCTATTAAAAAGACAGAGCCAGGCTCATCACAGTAGTGTATGTTGGAAGGACAAAAGGTGAGAGGCGGAACAAGATGTTCAGACTAGATATAGGGAAAAGGTTTTGGGTTTGTTTTTTTTTCTTCACCATAAGGACAGTCAAGCAGTAGAAGAGATTATCCTGGGAGGCTGCTCAGCCTCCATCCTTGGAAGTGAAGACCAGACTGGATAACCTGAGTAAGCCAGTCTGACTTCATAGCTGACCTTGCTTAGAGCAGGAGGTTGGACTGGTGACCTCCTGTGGTCCCTTCCAACCTGAATTATCCTGTGCTCATGATGGTAGAGACACAATGGTCTTGGTGGCAAAGGAGAAGAATGCTTTCTTGGCCTTTGTCACTGCTTTGCCATGGGATTTACTCTGAGCCTGGTAACTATACAGAGAAATGCACCTCTGCAGTATACCAGGTGTTTGGGTTTTTTTTCCCCATTTTGTGCAGTTTTACCTTGTCTTTTCACATACGTGGCCTTCAAATGTGGATTCAAAAGGGGTGTGGTTTTTGCATCTATACACTCAAAATACCCATTGTATTTTTCAGTAATGGGTCATTTCATGCTGCAGTGAAGGCTTAAAACTCTGTATTGCAAAAATAACTATTGTGGCTGCTAGAGATGCCACCAACTGCTGTGGTTGTATTGGTGTGAATGGGTGGAGAGGTAAAACAAGGGCATGTTTTGTCTGGTTGCAGGAAACATGGTTGACACTGCAGTTTGGTACAGCTACAAATGGTCATGTATCTGAGTTAAAAATCTCACATTAAATAGCATATATGACTTGAAGACAATACCTCTGCCTGAGCCATTGAGATAGTATTTTCTGTTTCTGTGTTTTGGTTTCCAAGGCTTGTGAAGTAAGCTGAGTAGGTTTAATAGTACATACATTTTTCTGACAGCACATAGGGCGTATATTGATAGTTAATGACTCAACAGTGAAATATGTTAAAGGAATTTAGCCTGTGAAAGTCAGCTCTTGAGGTTTTTGTAATTATTCATGCAGGTTGAAATGTCTGAAACTAATGAATAAACTGCAGGAAGGAGTTCTGTGGATTCAGTCATTTTTCAGACTGGTTTGACAGCCTACCACCTTTCAGAAGAAATTAAGTGGTTTGTACAAGTTCCAGATCTTCAGATGGGGGACTTACTGTCTCTGTGACAGTAATTACTGAAGGTCTGCTTTCCTTCTTACATGCTTGGGCTTTCTCAGAACACCTTTGCTGAGACTGACTCGGTGTCCTGGTTTTGGACACCTTTGTGGAATGGAAGCATGCTTGCTAAGTGAGAACATGACTGTCCACCTCTGATGTTGGCTAATACAAACAACAGTGTAATTCTCATTTTGGAGTAGCACTTAATAAGCTGCCATGCCACTGCATGGGGGAAAACAAACCCAACAACTACCTAACATGCGTTTTTGTTCTACGAAAATAAAACCTGTCATGGTGGTTCTTCAGTTGATAGGAAAACATGGTTTGTGTAAGTGCTTTCGTAGGAAAAACATTAAATCCTAGAGAGCTCTTTAGCTAGTACATAAATGCATTAAAAAAACATAACTAGGAATCAGAACTGAAAGCTGAAGCCAGACATTTGAATGGGAAATTTGGCACTGGAGTTTTTTACCAAGTGAAGTAATGGATGATTGAGGGCAATAATACTTCGCTTTTAATGTCTTCAATAATTGATGCCTTTGAAAATGTTTCCCCAAAACAACAAGGCTCAGAAAAACATGCAGTGTTTAATGAAGGTGGTCAGATTAGACAATCCCTTCCCTTCTTGCCTTGGGCTAGAATTAAGGAAATGCTTCCAGTATTGTGGTCTTGTTGCAGACTTTAGAAAGGACATGGTGAACAAGTGTTACCCTGTAAAGAACATGCCTGACTAAGCACTGGTATAGTTGGTAGCTGGGAGAGCCTGCTGTCTTGTCAGGTCTCTTCCAACCTTTAATGATTCTATGATTCTATGTCAGTTGGTCTCACAGCCAGCAAGAGTAATAGTGAGATTCCTAGTTCTTAAGTACTGGAGGACTGTGTTCCTTCAGTGGATAGAAACTCATATGTTGCACAAGTGTGTTACCTTTTCCACACTGACTAACAGGACTGGTCATAGTTTGTTTTACTAGCTTCTTTTCCCAGTCTCATTTGCTGTAGCAGGACACAATCTCAAATATTTGATTTTTTTCACTCTGTTTTCTTCTTTGGTTCTTCCATCCAATATTTTTTTTCTGTGAGCTTTCTGTTGTTCCTGGCATCCCTGTTCTTCTTTTGAGTACTCAGTTTTCCATCACCAGACTCCATCTCCTATTTTGTCCTGTTCCTTTGCATCAGCTTCTTTTGACTCCCTATTCTAGTCTTTTGCCAGCCATCCCGTGTTTCCTCTGCATTGTTGTTGGATCTGCTTTTTTTATTGATTGCTTTCTTCTCTCTCAGTACTTCAATCCTTTAAGCACTAAATAGACAAGTAGTTCTTTTCTATTTGGCCCTCTTTAGTATCTGTGGAATTTGGTACAGGAGTCTCTTGTATGTTGTGCGTTACACAATCAAGTCCCGCTTTTGCGCAGATCTCCAAAAGGGAAGAACACTACAGCATTTTATTGACTGGTTTGGCAGTCTTGGATAAAAGTAGTTTGGTAGAATGCATGCTACTTGTTGCTGTAACTGTAGCATTAATGAATACTAAAGTATACCAAATGTGGTATAAAGAAATGAACATCACTTCGAAGTAAAGGGTTAAAAGTGTGGACCTTACATGAGTGGAGCCTCCCACAGGCAGGTTATACTGAGGCCAGGGGAATCAAAAGGGATCTCTGGCTTGTTTCAACAAACTCTGGGTTTTGGGACAGGTGTTAAGTATTTGATGATTAGTTAGTAGGTTATTTTTCACTTTTGAAATAGGTTGTCTGTCTGCATTGCTCTTATTAATAAGCATTTTTAAGATTCAGCAGTACTTGACGGATAGAAGAACTTAGAAAATAAAGGAAAAAAAAAAGCAGGCAAAATGCGGTAGTAAGGAGCTTTATTTCATGATTAATTTTACCTTTTGTAGAACAAGTTACACCAGTCTTGCCAAATCAGTCTTGCAGTGTTTTTGCTGGGTTATCCCTCTGAGTTAGACCCACAGAAGAATGGAAAGAGGCTTTTCTACCCTCACAAATAAATGCACAGAGTTCTTGGAATAATTTTCGTGATTTTCATGTGTTTGTCAGGTAAAGTTTCACTTTTTCAGCTAAACTGATCTAATAGCTAGCAATTCCCAAATGGACAATCTCATCCCCTTTTCCACCCGAGTGCTTTACTGATGCTGCAACTGACTTACAGAGGATTTTGTGATACTGTCTTTTTTTTTTAGGTGCAAGGTAATTCTTCTTGATGGCTTTATATTTCTTTCAAGTTCTAAAAGTTTAAAAAAATTTCATTTTTTTAATGTCTGGTCTTGTTTGTGAGACTGAATAATTGCAAAGGTGGAACTTTTGCAAAGAAATTAGCCAAAATACAGCTCTCCCGGAATCCCATTGTTTCACAACAGTGTCACTCTGAGGACAGACTTAAATGTTGTACTCATCTTTAGCCCTACAAATGTATAGGAGGGTTGATGACTGCATAGTGTATGTGCAGTTTCTCTTCAAATATAACTCATGCACAAAGTGTATCAGTTTGTTAAACTCTCCGGAAAGCTCACTTCTGCTTTCTTCCCCCCCCCCTTTTTTTTTTTTTTTGCTCAAAGGACATTGAGGTAGTTTTGAGGTCGTTAAGGACAATGGAAAACATACACTCATTCTTGAAATTCATTTTGTTCTTGAAGACTAAATATTGATGTGCTTATTTAGAAAATAGTGTCCTGCTAATAGTTGAATTGAAACTTCAAGTAGAAAACAAATGTGCTCTTAAATTATTCAGAAAGGACTGGTCCCTCTGTAATAATATGCATGGAATATTTGGTTTAAATTGTAGACCTGCAAATGTTGAAGATTTAGGACCTTTCTAAATGTTTCAATGATAATGAAATACAAGTATAATCAAGTGTCAGAGTTAGGTGACCTTTAAGAAAGGGATATGTGGGTGCGTACAGCAAAACTCCCTTTGCATTAACGCATTACTATGGGGAAGGAAAAGCCTTTGCCTGCAAAACTTACATGTGTTCAAAAAGTAAACTACTGCAGCAAAGGGCCTTTTCCTCATGATGTACCTAAGTATGGTAACAGTACTGGTTTGAAATAGAGAGATCTGGAGGGAAAAGACAAATAGCTTTCAAATATCAGTTGTATTGTTGTTCTTAAAATACTCCTTTTCCCTTTCGGAGATCAAGTCCTTATAATTATATGTTACCAGGAACCGGTGGAAACAATTTGTGTAACTGAGATTTAACTGGTTTAGGGATTCATTGTTGGTAAAAGCATCATAGAACGTAACATTTTCATATTAGTCAATAATGAACGTGGTTGGAAACAAACCAATGATTTCTCTTTTTACAGAAAAACCTGCCATTGCTCCACCCGTCTTTGTATTTCAGAAGGATAAAGCACAGAAGGTAAGGAGATGTTGATATGTTTTTTTTGTTGTTGTTCTGTAGCCCTGACTCATTCCATGGTGAGCAGCTGTTTGTCTACATTGTTTTGAAGTTGAAGATGGATAATAGAGCATATACATATTAGTGGGTGTAGGGTGAAGAGGTTAAGAGGGCTAAAAGTGGGAAGATGCATGATGATGGCATGAAATGGGTAGCTCTTCAGACAGAAGATTGACCAAATCTGGGAGAAAAAGTATCTTCAAAGCTGTATATTGAAAGGAACAGGTGGCAGAGGAGTGCTGACAGTTGTGGTTGCATGAGAAAACTATAAAATTTCTTTTTCTGATAATAGAGTTAAGACAAAGCAAAGAAAACCATGGTCTAGGTTATTGCTTTTCACCTCAGTATATTTAAATGTATCTCATATCTTTGGTTGGTGAGGTGTCTAATTACCTTGGAAAATGTTAATCCTGTTCCCTCATCTGTCCCTCTACCCTTGCCATGTGTTCTTGTCCCCTGCCTTTGGGTCTGCGGTAGTGGTTACACAGTGTTGAGGTAAGTTGGAGCTGTGCTGTAATCTGCTGGGAGGTATTCTGTGGGTACACTTGCGTTGAACCAAGAGGCTGATACAAACTCATCCTGTGGCTGTAGAAGGAGTAGGTCTCAGGAGAGAAATGAGGGTTGCAGGACAGAGCAGGACCTTCCCTTTAGCAGAAGTTGCTATTAAATTGAAATAGGTGTAATGGAAAACCATGGCCATGTGGACCTAATGCAGTATAGTTTGCAGTCCTTTTCACTTTGAAAGTGATGCACAAAATGTTATGGATGAGTGCTAGGGTGTAGTTTTCATTACTCTTTTTCCAAACAGTAAGCCTTCCAGTTTTTTATGTTGTAAAAATATTTTTAGTAAAAGAAATTGATAAAAAACTCAGTATGTTGCAGTATTTAATTCTGCCCGGTTAATAGTAAAAGCTGTTAACATTTGGGGAAAAAAACGACAAGGTTACCCTTGTTTCAGCTGAAGCTGGTGGGAACCAAGAGAAGTGTACTCATGTACACGTGATTCACTTTTTGTTGAATCACTGGATTGTTATATTATCTGTGCAATCAGAAAATCTTCTCAAATGTTTGAATAGAAATACTGAATGATTTTGCAGTTGGTAACTTTTCTTTGGTTTGGAAGAAGTACCAGACTCTAGCATTCTCACAGGTTTAGCAGGCATATTCCTCAGCAGGAGCTTGAAATCTTTTGTCAGCTTGAAAAGGATTTAAAGCTGCTGTTCTTCTAATATTAGCTAATCAAATTAAATATATCTTAAATAGTTTTGAGACGTTCCTTCCAATTACATTTTTTTACAGTGACCGTTTACATGTACTTTGGAATGAAGGGAGTGCTAGTGTTTAAGCTATCAGTTTGGATCACATTGGATCCTAGGAAACAGCTACTAGGAAACAGCTCCTAGGAAACAGCTCCCAATCACCTGCTGCTGCTTAGACTGTTCCTGAAGTCCCTTCTGAGTTGCACCATGGTGAGTTTTCTCCCCAGGTGTCCTTTAATCTGGCAGTGCTTCCACAGTTAGCCTGGAAGCAGTGATCACAGCAGTGTGCAACCCAGGCAGAGTGACGTGGTCCTGTCCCCTTTCTTTGTTGGCCTGGTCCTTCAGTGCTAAGCTGGCAGGTCTGGTGCTCTCAAGTTCCTTCATGTTGTACCTTCTGCTTCTGCACAGAGTGCATCCCTGCAGTGGCCTGCACACAGTGCATGCCTTCAGTGTTAGGCTGTGCAAGCTCCTATGTTGGGCTGTGGGACAGATCTGTTGCAGTCTGGTATGTCTCAAGAAAATATTTGTAAAAAATCTTAAGGAAAGGCTTAATGTCTCTTTGGGCTGGCAGAGAGGACCCAGGGTTCCAGGGAGAGGAATCTGTGATTTAGTCTTCCTGGCTGCTTCTGAGGATGCTGAGGACTATGGCAATGCTGAGTAGGTAGCTGTGTGCAGGACAGCCTCTGCCAAGGCCCAGCCAGAAAGCCTGCTTGGTGGGGTGGAGGGACTGTGTGTGATGAGGCCTGTGGGTGAGCCAAGCATCTTGGAGGCACAGGGGTTAGAAGTGAGTTAGGAATTGATCTAAATACTAAGTGGTATTGGTGCTTGAGAGGGGGCTAGCCATGGTCAGCATGGGCATGGAATAGGTCTAGCTTGGCTGGAGAACAGGGCTTGTTCCTTGAAGCAGATCATGAAGAGTCTACTGGTGGCATCTGTCACTTGGTTGCCAATTTCAGAAGTGTAATACATCTAGTAACAAACTTAAATGCTTATGTTAAACTGTGTCATGTGTGGAGATGAACAGTTTTCTTAGGGGGAGGGAGGGTGGTTAATAATAATTTTAGTAGCTTAGACTGTGTGTATTTGAGACTGGAGAAAAAGAGTGAGAGAAGCATCAGCGCTGTGCTTCTTGCTGTTTTATTAAATAAAGGGCCAAAGCCTGCTTGTTGCTTGCGCCAGTAGCTGTTTTTTGTAGTGTTGACACAATTGTAATAGAGTCAGAATATGGTGCTGTCAGCCAAAAGTAACAGCCACTTAATATATGCTGTATGTATCAGAACCTAGTGTTCAGGCCAGCTGAGTGTCCCTTTAATCAACTTAAGAAAAGGTGACTTGGGTTACACACTGGTTGAGACCTTTCACTGTATTTTTGGAAAGACTAACAGCTAAGTGTTGCAGTTAACGGTTAACTCCATTACTGTTTCCATACAAGGTGTCTGGGTAAGTGCATTGCCTGCCACAAAAGATTTTCCTTATTAAAGTTAACAAGGAAAGTCTATTAATAGCAGGAGTTTTTTCCTAGAGCAATGTTTTGAAGAAGATGCAAAAGTAACTTCAAAATAGTTGACAAACAACACCCTTCTAAAATATGTAACTTCTCTACGTAAATTACAATTTTAATTTAGCAAAATGTCTGTTTAGTCAATTTGGCTTTCTTCTGGAGCTGTAAGCAAGGTGTTCATGGAGACTTTCCAGTGCCAACGCAGCAATCTGACAGTAAGCTGAGAGTGAGGAGAAGGCATTGCATTGTGTATTCAATTAACTGTCCATGATGATTGTTTAGATGTTTGCCTAGTGCTCTTCCACATCAAACAGGACATCCTGAGCAGAATTATTTTGTTGCAGGCCCTCTCAGTATTAGGGCCGGGTTGATATTGTTCAGTGGTCTTAACTGACTTTTCTGGAGCTAACATTGTCTACTATTAAGTTAAAGAACGTTATTTTTCTAGAAATCTGTACTTAAGTTTGTGCTTGTAAGGTGTCAGGCATCTATCTCTCCATTAGAAGTTGGAAAATATTCAGCATGTTGCAGGACAAAATGTATATTAGTCTGGAAACTAATTTTTTAACTGGTTGTTCCAGCTAAGGTTGTATACAGTTTAGTAAATCATCAGAACCTGCAGTTTGTCATGTTTATTTAGAGGAGACAAAAAGTGCATGGTGTTCAGAATGATGCCTCTTAATTTTACTTTCAGTAAGGAGGTTCTGGTTGTTTTCTTTCACAGTTAAAAAGACAGGATTGGTCTATCTGTTCTGATTTTCATTCTAGATATCAATATATCAATTAATGGTGAATGTAAAGTTGGCTGTTTCCACATTCGTTGAGTGCGTCTCCATTTTCATTATTTTCATGTCTCCTTAACGCTCAGAACTATTTTTGCAATGTGTGAAACAGAGATAGTTCTTTCAAATATCTGAATGATAGCATCCAAATATCTTCCTTGTTTATACACTGCTATTCATTTTTCTGACAAGCAGAGCTTCTAGTGCTGACACTAGTTGGAAAATTGCATCAGCTTAGGAAGACTCATAGCTGTTAAGATCTGAAAGCAGCATAAAGTCCTAACCTCGCTATGTTAAGCACAGAACATTGCTGTTACTCCATTATCTATCCCAACAACTTATACATGAACTATACTGTGCTTTTCATAGCACTTCTTGAATTAAAGATTTCAATTGATAGATACAACTTTTTCTGTGATCAATTTTTGTCACTTGTTAGACTTGTGTTTCTGCTCTGAAACTAATTTTAACTTTGCCATAAAACCATTTCATGACAGTTTCCGGCCATAGGTTACTTGAAGTCATTTTATGAAGTTAACTTTTAACATGCTTTTCTGAGGTCAAGGTATTCTGAAGTGTTTCTTGCATTTACACATTTTTAAGTAGGTATAATAGCTCAAACAAATTTAACCAGTACTGTTGTAAAGAAACAATTTGTCCAAAAATGCTTTTAAAGTAGTGTCCTTTGTTCTGCAAGTATGAGCTGTGGTCGTCTTCCAGTCATTATTGATTCTAGCAGTACTAGGATCACCATGACTCCCTAGTCATGAGTACTACAAAAGGTAGATACTCAACTCAGATTTAAAAAATATTTTTGCACTACAAAACAAGCCATTGTCTATGTAGCTTGCACCTTGTCCTCTTCCCTCCAGCAGCCTGGGTTGGGGATAATGGTAGTATATAGAAAAGAACACTTTATTTCTAGCTTGTTAGATAACTGCTTTGGCTGGTGTACTGCTTTCTATAGGTGAATTGATAGTGGCGAGCTTTTAAGGATGGCTCTGAAGGAAGGTGAGTTACATGATATTTGGGTCATGTTCCATACCTAAGTGGTGCTGCAAAATGATGCAAAAGGGATAACTGGCACCTGGGTCGTAAAGGTAAAGGGGTAGTTCTGGAGTGAACAAGGATTTACGTCCTTAAGTTGTTAGGTCTGTCATGGTCTTAACTGTGGAGCTTTAAAAATAGATGTGGAGTTGTAAAAGGGATTTAAGTGATTAGAAAGATGGCATTCCCAGTAGTCTGGAGAGCAAGATCATGAGTTCAGAAGAGAAAGTTGTATTAGACAAATCACAAAGTAGGGATTGGTTGAAGTCCTGGTTTGATGTAGTGTGACTTGGAAATGCCTGTGTTTTGGTGGCTTGAGGAGGTAGATGATCAGAAAACGTTGTTTGTGCTGTGAGCATGACTTGTAGGTTTAGGATGGTGGCAGAGACAACTGTGGGAGGAAGCAACTTGTGTAGGGAGAGGCAACAATATCTCCTTTTCCAAGCTCTCATAGTATCGTTAGCACAGCTGCCAAGAGGTTTTGTTAGGGAGTCCTAGTTGAACTGTGTTGTAAGTCAGCAGTATACTTAAGGAGTTGAAAGGAATGCTTAAGAGTTCATAATTGTGAATATATCGCTACACTGCTGCACTTAGAAGAACAATTATAAATGTATTTGGAGAGGACAGTTGTGCAAGGCAAAGCGTAGAGGAATATAGAGAGGCTGATAATGTCAAAGGCTACTGAGAATGCCAACAAGAGTTGTCCTCAGCAGATAGACTGTGAAAAGATATACTGAGAGTAGTCTCTTTGGGCCATTGGATATGGGTGCTAGTTTGGGGAAAATGAGGAAAGGAGGCATAAATAGCACAACTTAGAATTGGGAGGAAAAACTGACCTGAGAGAGTTTGTGCCAGTCTTCATAAAAAAGGAATATTACTTCCTTGCCTATATTTGGTGTTTCTAGCATCATGTTAATCTTAGCTTTTATGTATTTCTTCATCTCTCATTTCCTGCAAGGCAGAGGAAGCCAAATCTCCAAGTAGACTTTTACCTATTTAGTCTAGGTGTGGTATTTTTGTGTTTTAATAAAATAGAAGTTTGATCTGGCAGAGCAAGGTGAGTTTGTGTAGGTGGCTTCCTAACATTACTAATCTCTCCATTGATCTTTGCCTTAGTATTTAAGAGACAGGAACAGATTTCTGCCAAGTTCTCCCTAGAGCTGTGCTTACAAGGAATGTTTCCTCTAGAGAAGAGGAGGCTCAAGAAGAGATGCAAATCATCACAGACCTAAAACAGCAAAAAGGAAGAGAATGAACTGTTCTTCACCAGCTCCAAAGAACTTCAAACAAGAACTTAGTTTAGAATTTATGAAGTTGAGATTAGAAAACACTTTCAATAGTAAGCATGACTGAAGACTAAAATGAATTTTAAGAGCTTGCAGTTTCCCTTGGATGTGTTTTTTTGAGAACAGCTGTGCAAACTTCTGTCTGGAGCAGTTTTGGTTTGACAAATCCTTGAGGCCTTTGTTAGTTTTGCCTTCCATGACTTAAACCACACACTATTCACAAAATTCTGAAACTTGCAGTAGTTTTTGATCCATTTAATATATTGATTTTTTTTTAAAAAAAGACAATTTTATGTATTGACCTGGCCAAGAAATTCTCATCTTGGCATCAGATTTTTCTGCATAAAAGCGGTGATTGGCAATAGTTGTTATTTTTGGTTTGTTTCTTTTCTGAGTCTTGGAGCTCTTATTCTAGTTTTGCTTAGGATAGAAATCAGATTTATGCTGGAAGGTTACCTTGCTTATTTCACTTTCTAAAATACTTGCCATGTATTACAAGAATTACTAAAATCTGATGCGTGTTTACTCAGCCTACTTTGAAATGTTCTAAACTGTATTGATATGAATTACTTGCAAAATAATTTAACATCCATTTTAGTTATATAGCACAAGTGTGTGTTGAATGTTCTTGCCTCTTCTTGCATTATTAGCAATTTTATGATCTGTAGCTAGAAGTCAGTGTAAATTGCTGGCAAGGCTCTTTTTTTTTTCTTTGAATTTCTCCAATTGCTTGCTGAACCCAAGCATGTGAGCTACTACCATCCGCATGATCCTCTGACAAGGGGCTGACAAGGGTGTCAGCAGGATGGGCTTTTTGTCTCCTTTAGTTTTGTGTTGGTTTTTTTTGAACCTGTTATAGCCTAGTTTAATTTGATGCCTTCCAGCTCTTGCTCTTTGGGAGTCACTGCATTGCCATCCTATATGCCACTCATGATTTCACAGTTATATTCCTGCTCCTTTTCCCTCCAAATTCTGTGTATTATGACTGAGGAATAATAAGGTATTTAGCTATTTTTATGTGGAAACACTTCCGTACCCTTTCTTATGCATTATTTTGCTGCTTACGGACGCTGAATCTTCTTAGTCATCTTCAGCACCAGAGCCTGTCTGTCTACAGTTTCCTAATCGTTCCCTGTTGCCTCCAGATCCCTGGTGATGGTTAGCTCATCCTGAGGTTCATTCTGGCTGTTGACAAGGACGGTCTGCCCCATCCCCATTTCCTAGTGCTGTTCTGGTTATAGCTTTCCGCATTTTCCCCACTATGGTTTTTAGGGTCCCATCCCCCACCCTGGGTTCTTAAAGGCTGTGTGAATAACAGCAGGGTTGTCTCCATCACCTGTACAGCAGTTGGGGTCTGTGGTCTGTTCAGTCCTACTGCAGTCATCTCTTCTGTAGTGGTCTGGCTCTCCAGACCACTGGAGAAGTGGGAAGTCTTTCAGCTCGACGCCACACCAAGTTGGTTATGCTGCTGGCTCTCTTATCACCAAGCCGAAAGCTTGCAGATTCTGGTAACTATTGACAAGGCGATAGAGGCTTAAGTGTTAAAACCATTCCGCATATTTCCTGAAAACTAGAAACCTGACTGAATGAGTGACACCCAAATTACCTCCCTTGCAGAGGGAGAGCTGCTGTTGTATGCGTGGCCCTGCTGCCTCTGCTCAGTGCACATGAACTGCCTCTGGCCCCACGGATGGCCTGAGAAGGTTTGGCAGGATTGAAGAGGTGTTGGGGAGAGGTTTGTGCGGGGAGGTGTGTGGGGAGGATTTGAGGTAGTGGAGTGAGAGGACCAGAGGACACATGCAATGTAAGCCATGAGAAAAATCAGATCTCCAGTGCTGCTGCTTGCATAATTGCTTTTGTGGTTAGTGTGATGCAGGTAACTTGCGACTTAATTCTTGTACTACTTCTATGGCTGGCTCCCCTTGAAGGCGGAGAAAACAGTTTTGAATTATGTTTGGAATGCTGTTAACTTTGAAAGTGAGGCTTAGCATAAAAAAGGGACTAGGAGCAATGGGTATAACATGTCAAGTGGAGGACAGAGGTGTTTACCCTTTGTCTTTATGTATGAATGACATACGTATGTTGTAAGTGCTGTGGCAAATTCCAGATAGCCTTTTCATGCTGCTCTTCTGAGCCAAAGAGGTAAGAATAGCAGAGTGCTAGACTTGGTTTAATTTTTGGCAACAAACAAAATGTTTCTTTAACTGTTCTCTCTTGTTCTGTGAGGTTTTAAGTTAGTGTTTGGGTCTGTTAGTAGCAGCTTCATGTTAAAACCAGAAAATTTTGAAAATACAAAAATCCAGCAACCCCAGCTTTACCTGACATAATGTTATCTCCATTAAACATATCTTGACTATTTCGAGCCTTAATGATAGTAATTTCTTGCAAGATTTAAAACTTTAACTTGAGTAACTTCACTGAACTGAAATGAACCCACTGATAAAATTGCATGTATTGCTCTCTTTTAATAATTGCTTCTGTTTGAGGACAAGCCAAGTCATAGCTGAAGAACTTTGGGCCTTTAAGATTTAAAAGCTGCTGTTTATTTTTGAGGTTGCTGTTTACTCTGTTTTGCATGGACCTGGGCAATATTGAGCTTTAGTCTCTCTTCATTCTACCAAATGCTTTCTGAGAGCAAGCCAAGATTATGTGTTTCTTGGTGACGTCTTTGCCTAACTGCTTGATTCTCCAAATACTTTACTGTAAGACACCAGGAGGCTTGGCCCACAGATCACAGCTGGGAGAATGTCCTTGGCCTGCATATTGTCCATGGACTATAATGTAGTCCTTTATCACAATACAGTTGTTCAGGCTCAAAGCCTTTAACTCTTTCATTCTTCAGATGTGTGCAGAATATGGTAATACTTAATTTTTGTTCTACAAGTGGGGACCTGCAACATTAAATGATCTGAAGAAATGTAAAAATTTACAGAAGTTCAGCAAATATCAAATCCAATTAGTGTGCACTAGCTATCCTATCACCCTCCTCCTCGAAATAGATATGCAAACTTTTTAACTTACAAAAGAAAACATTGGTGTTGCTTTTCAGATAATTCACCATCACATGAATATGAAAGGATTGTGTCTTGTGTGAATGTTATAATAATGAATTTCTCTGGAGAATTTTATAATCAACCCTACCTCCCTCAAATGTGGTCTGAAGAAGCAGTGAAGCACAGTTATTTACAATAATTGTCTATTTAATTCTTACGTCTGAATCTGGGGGGTAAAAGCAATTAGCTCTCCTTTAGGCCTTGAGAGAAGGAGGAGTTAAACCCCAACAACCCTGTGGCTGGCAAAAAGGCTCTTTTGTCGGGGACACTGACATTTTTAGGTAACTGTCAAAAAAAAGTGCATTTGCTCCAACTGATGGTTTTTGTGGGGAGGGGAAGCTAATTCAGTCAGCAGGTTCTGTTACCTGGTTTGTGCGTATTTTAATTGCAGCAAGCAATTCCTTCTGCCATACTGTGAAAACAGTGGAATTTATAAAGGGATTAGCAGATCCTCTCACTAGGACGACTGCTCTCATGTTGCAGCCTTGCATTGAAGGGACGTTGTCTTTTTTGCTCCCAGTCCCCTGCAGAGCAAAAAGGTTTGTCGGATTCAGGCGAGGACCCCCAGGGAGAGGTTGAGCCCCCCCACCATGGTCTGGGTCACAAAGAATCAGCTGGTGAGCGCGACTCTGAGCACCCTGCTCCCGCTGTTGCCTCAGTCAGTGCTACCCTGAGTCCCGCTTCTGAAGCCCAGCTTGCTCCTATTCAACAAGAACTGGCAGGGGTAAGTGTGAACCTACCAAGTACTTCTGCTGCTGAGGGGATTAAAGAAAAAAGTCCCTTCTACTAGGAGGAATCTGTTACTGTTAACTTTAGGTAGTGCAGCTCACTATCTGTCTGGTGGTTTGATCTCAAGTGTTAGTCCCCTTCTAAGCTGTTGTTTCAATTAGTAGAAATGAAATTTGTTTGGATTCCTTAGTGGGTGTAATTACAGAAGACACATCAAGTATTAATTTTAAAATTTAGGGTGTAAACTGTGTGTTTGCTAAGGATAAGAGCTCTTCTAAATGAGTGAGAAAGTGGGTATATATGAGGGATTTGCTTCAAGCAGTTAGAGGAGGTTTGTTTATTCCCTCTGAGCCGTAATGCTGCAGTTTGACAAAGTGAGCAGCTAATGTTCTGTTTCCACTGGATATAAACGGGAGCTTGTCATGCCAACCTGTAATGTACTTAACAGATTAAAAGCAGCAAGAAAGATGCTAATGCAGAATTTTGAATTTGGGTACTTGGGGGGTAAAAAAAATTAGTACCTTGAGGTAGGAAAAGCTGTCAGTGCTGTTAACTTAAGATTTTTCTACTGATGGTGAAGCAAAACTTTTTTTGAAAGATTAAATGACTGCTACCATACAGTCTTTCAGAGCAATTTTAAGTGTTTGTAGTAATCTTTCTGGTTGGTGGACGGTGTTTTCTTGGTGCAGGTGAGTGTCACTGCTCATTGTGACCACACACACTAGCATGTACTCTTTGATAGATCTCTGCCTGTTAAGGCTGCTCCACACAGTACCTGTGCCCTTTTCTTGCACTAGGTTTTTTTTTTCGAAGAATGGGCCATTTCAAGTAAACTCATGCCAAATGGATTGTCATGACAAGGTACAAACAACTGTAGGTTAAGCACCTTTCGGTGTCCAGACTGTCAGGTGTTGCTTGATGACCTGCTGCAGAAATTTTTCTATTTCAATTATTTTTTTGAAGGTTAAAGTTTTCAAGTTTTCAAAGCTATATTTTAAAATACAGCTGGTAAACGTAGTCAGACTTCTATGTTAGTTTTCTATCATATGAAATTGCCAGTGTTACTAAAACTGGCCAAGAGAACTGTATTAACCAGACTTTCAGGAAAACTGCAGCAAGTGGTCATTATCTTAGACGTGTTCTTAAAGAGCAAAATATCTTACCCCAGTTAATCCAGGTCTGAAAGAAATTTAAGAACCAAAAATACTGTTGGGGAACGTATGCAGGGATTCTTGGCTGTACACAACACATCTATGCATCATTGAACTTTACTCCATTCACTTAAATTTATGGAATAGTACAGTGCTCAGTATAGACATGTAACTGGCCTTCATATGCATTGGCAAACATTCTTCAAATTATTCCAGTTTCTTAGTGTAAAACTGTCTCTTACCTTGAAATATACAGAAGGTCGATGCATCTTCAGAGTGCTCATACTGGTTTGCCGGAGCAGAAAGCTTCATATAATCTTCCCAGGATGTTGGGAAGATGAATTAAGACTGAATTCTGAAGAAGAGACACTGCATATTGTTTACTCGGTATTGTTTGTATGTGCATAGGCAGATATTTTTGCGAAGACATTAATGTGGTGTGACCAGAGATATGGCCTCTTGCGGAGCTGATTATGATGTCTTGACTCTCAGCTGTCTAATCCAAGCCAGCCTACAGCAGCATGTAGCTGTGCCAGCAGGACTCCATTGGTTAAGAGGTTCTAGAATAGCTTTTAAACAACAGCTATGGCAATTCAATAATGCTTACAAATGTGCAGAGTGTCTGGCTTGCAGACTTGCTGTACCATGCTCTGAAGTCCTTTTATGTAAGACTTTTTGCATCTTAAATGTATTTTTTCAAAGATAAACACTCTAAGTGTACTCTTAGAGATTTCACCTAATTACGTTGTCCTTTTTTTGCTTTACCTGAATTCTCCCTTGCCTTCCCTGTTTCTGTTCATTATTGTGAATAAACAAAAACTGACAAATTTGAAGTTTGTGTAAGTTCGCTGTTAGTTTGTTGTAATAACTGTGTGAGGAAGTAATGGGTATAAAGAAGCAGTGTTTGTACTTCAGTATGGGATGGTTAATGACTTTCACTTGCACTTTTTAAAAAGCAGTTGGTAGCCTTTAAAAAGGTAATTTGGTTAATTAGAAATGAGTCAGAATTGTAGGAGCCTCTATTTAGAAATAATTGTAACTTTTCTGTAGCTGGATTTCTAAAAGTAAGAGGAGGTGGGAATAAGTGAAAGGTGGCTTCTGTTCTTAAACGAGGAGTAAATTGTGGGTTGGATTTTGATGTTACTGGTTTAAGTGTGTCTTCAGCTTCTAACTTCAAATAACTGAATGGAGAGAAGTTGAGCCACCTTAATGGTTCCTTATAGGATGAGATAGTCCTGGCTTTCATTTCTGTTGTGTAGTATACTTGTATAAAATGTGTATTGCTATAAAGTACAGATTGAATAGCCTGGAAAGAGAGGCCTGATATGGAAAGGCTGGACTGCTGTTTATTGTCATGAATTGTAGTCTGATGTTTTTTCCAGTCTGTCAAGTAAACTGTTTGTCATGCATATATTCCCCCTATTTTTGTCTAGTCTCCTGAGCTTTTCCTGAATAAGCAACACTGGTAAGCAACTTCTGGCTGTGGTGGTAACTTATTTTACAGCATGGCTTCATAAGAAAATGAAGCTTATGCTAATACAGTATATCGGTGTACCCCCACACCATCTACCTTTAACTTTCTGTCAGGTTTGACCGAAGATGCTGAGAGTTAGAGAGATCTTGGCTCTGGATTCCTCTATGGTCTGTGGGTAGAGGCAGACTGGAGAGGAGAGACACCATCTTGCTGCCTCAAGCATTTGGCTTCTCACTGCAGGTTATTCCATGTTGTTTGTCATATAGGTATGCATACAGCTTTATTTTCTTGAAAGCCTTCTAATTATGAAGGATTTAGGAATATTTTTCAAGATCTGTAAGAGCAAATTGGTCATTGGTGAAAGCATTATTATAATGAGAACTTGAGATTTAACCAAGGTTGAGGAGACCTGATAGGTGAATGCCCAAGTAATGGGGAGTGAATATTGACAGCAAATGTTTTAATAAAAGCAAGAAAACAGTGGTGTGTGTCTCTTACTGGATGCCGAGTATAACAAAATTAAAATACCGTTCCCAGTAGTGTTGGTAGCTCTGCAGTGGAGTAACTCGTGTATATTCTCAATTCATTTGAAAACAGAAAATCGAACCTGAATATCTTAAATGCTCAGGCAGGAGTTTCAGTACTGAGGTGGACATAAATGAAGTTCTTTGGCCTGTCTGTGCTTGGGGATCAACCTAAGGGATTATGAATTTTTTCTCCCCTGGCCTTTAAATTCCTGAGTCTATGAAAGATTTAAATCTGTTGTTGCGTTTTTCTGGTAGGATTTATTTGCAAGGTCTGTCCCAACTTCCCCAAGCAATAATTGACAGTGTGAGCAGTGAGTGAATGGATAAGGATGGGAGTAGCATACCAAATGATCTAGATATTTTTTGCTACATAGGCATCTAAATACAGTTGAGAGAAAGGGAAGTCCTTTTTTACTTCTGTGCAGCATCTACTTTGACTAGGGTTGGCAATGTCAGTAACTGCTGTAACACTTGTCATGTGGGCTCTTGCATAGCTTTAATCTCCTAAAACTCGTGGACTAGGAAGCATGGAAATAATTCAGAGAGTAGATATTTAGCTCTGCTTTGCCCTCAGTAGGCTACACAGTTGGTTTTGGATATTGATGGTCCTTGCCCACTAAATGTAGTGATGGTATATTTAGTTGTGCTTGCATCAGTTAATGAAATTACAATGATGTGATAATTTGAAGCTTGTGCTATACAGGTTTGATTTTTTTTGTCTGTGTTACTTGAGCATTGAGAATACCGCACATATTAGAAACAGCTTAAGAAGTTTTTGAAGTTCAGGGTGAAATCACTTGTTGACTTTTAAGGATTTTTGCACATAGAGATCTGCAGTTCCATTCATGCAAATTTTTTTACCAAATGGTTTCCTTTTGCTTTCAGGATTTTTGCTAAAAATTGAAACAAATTGCTGGTATGTGTGACAACATTTTCTGTGCAAAACATTTTTTTTTCTGACTTCAGATGCTGGTTACTGAAATGGATGACATCATGGTTTTCCACTTCAGCCTTATCTATTGGGTAACTAGTGTATGATGGCAAGGGAGATGCCTATTAAGATCATCTTCTAGTAGTGTGGAGTACTTGACCAATTGTGTAGGAAGAGCATGGCTCATCAAATACAGTATTAATGCGATTGGGCTGATAGATATGTGTGGATGTGGGGGGTTTGTGTTCCCGAACTGTCAATAGCTTTTCATTCCCTATGCTAAAGTTTCAAAAGTACTTGACTAGCATGCTAGTGAAGTAACTATACTCTTCTATTAATGTAAAACAAACCAGAAAAACCCTTAAACTTAATTGCACAGGCAAAATGCAGTGTAAATGGGTTTTTATTAGCATTGAGTGAAATACTGATGGTACAGTAGTATCTAGATTCTAAATATATGCAGTGCTAAATAGAAAGTTTTGTACTTTCTGGTATTCTTAATCCAAGGTATGTCTTTCAGATGATAGTCCTGTGCAGCCTTAATCAGTCCTGTTGTGTGTTGCCTGATCCTTGTGTGTGTGCTTGTTCTCCATGCCAAAGCATGACTAGTTGCAGTGGGGAAGGATGAGCTCTGGGGCTGCTGCGGGCTATGTCCATGAGCTGCCGTTCCTACCCAGGTCAGCCAAGCTCTGAAGTGAGACTGTGAAGGTGAGGTGTCTGTCTGTGTATCCTGGGGCAGGAGTGGGATGAAAGGGTAGTGTTGGACTAGGGAGAAGGTCCAGTATGTCAAGAGGTTTTGTAATGAGATGGAGGTGCTAATGCTGCTCTGGTCACCTTGCATAGTGAAAGGAGTCCATCATGGGATTGTTTTGCAGGAACAAGGGAAATTATATCAGCTGAGGAACTGGCAGAGCAAGTAGGAGAAGAGACCTAAAAATCCTCAGAAAAGATGTGAAACTTTTGTTCAAAGACTTTTTGAATATTGTCATAGTTGGTAGCCTGTCGTGTTCCTGGTACTGTGGAAGATGCTAGGAGACTGTCTGTTGGTAATTCCTATCAAAATATCGCAGTACTGGTTTATAGACTGTGCTTTGAAAGACATTCCTCCAATGCCGTCCTTTTGTTGAAGGAACTGATGTCAGTTACATTAATTGGGAAAAGTGATTTGGAATGAACTCCCAAATAATGGGTATGTTCATGATGAGCTTGGAACTTCTGATATTTTTAAAATCAAACCAAATTTGAAAATTGTCATGTTCAGATTTTCAATATATAGAAAATTGTAACTGTTGCATAAGTGCTTGAATATGAATTTTCAGGTATCTTATTTGTAAATGAAATATTTTGAGTTAACCTTATCTAATAGTATCTGGGTGAAACTCAATATGCCTGCGTGTGAGTCATAAAAATAATGCTTTGCCTTGAGTGTATATCGACAGTAAAGAAAAAAAATCTCCAAACTGATGATTAAAACACTGGGATGTATCCAAAGAGATTGAAATGTTCAGTATGTGATTTTTGTTTTATCACTGTCATCTGATTTCAGAGATCAGCAGATGGATCAAGTCCAGAAGATGGAGATGGTAAGAGATTTGATTGTAAGATTAAAAAACATGAGTTTATGTGTCTCCAGGATTTTGAGTTTTCTCTAATTGCTTTTTTCTACAGAATCTGATCGAGAGGATGGGAGCTACTGTCCACCTGTAAAGCGTGAGAGAACTTCATCCTTAACTCAGTTCCCTCCTTCTCAGTCAGGTAAATGTTGTTACAATATGTATGAGGTGGGTTTCCTTCTTATACTTTTTTCTAGTCATTTCAGCAGTGTTATTACTGTCCACTGTGCTTTGGTTTAAGACTGCAGCAACCATGTACTCTGACTTTTTCTATGGTCTATGTTAGCAAATTTAGTGAAGCCCGAAGGAGTTGATAGATATGGTTTTTTAAATATTTTCTAGCTGTAAGTTTATATATATTTAAAGTTTCAGCTTTTAATCTTCTGCTGTTAAATTGAATTTACCAGAAATCTCTTTGATTTGTTGTGATCACATTGCTTCTTAACGAATTTATATAAATGCTACCTTTTTCTTAGTTACTCTGCTGCTAGGCAAATCTTCCAAGTCTTGGGTCATGCTTAAGTTGTTTTAGTCCTTTTCTTTTAAAGTGGAGAGGATTCAGTGCACTTCAGCAACATTCTCACCTGGCAAATGCAAGAGAGAATGACCACTGCCTGTTTGTGTATACAGTCAAGGCTGCAAAATCACTGGGAAGGCCAGGGTAAATTCTTGCAATTCACATACGCAGGAATGTTCATGTTTGATCTTTGTGTTCACCCACAGGATCAGTCTCTAAAATTTATGCCTTTTCTCTTCACAGACAATAAGTTTCTAGCTTTGGTCGAGAATTATTTTAGTTAAGATGTGTCAGTGCTTGGGGCAGGTTTGGAGACTTCACTACTTCGTTTATGTTGTCTTAGTTAAAATAAAGGAGATGAGGAAAAACAGTAAAGGAGAGAACAGTAAAAAAATACTCCTCTAACATACAGCATATTCAGGAAGTGTGACTAAAAGATGAAAACCTAGTTATTTTGATTTTAATTTTGAAGAAGTAAGTGACTATGGAATTTAACACGTAGTTGCTGATATTTTATGGGCTGCTTAAGATCTCCTTAAGATCTAGATTTTTCTGGCATGCAATTTAGCAGGTTTCAAGGTGCAGTCCTGTTAATTGAGTATGGTTCAAGGGACCAGTGTTGCTGCTATCTGCTTGCTGATCACTCAGTAAAAGAATACACTCTGCACAAAAATAACGAATAGGGTTTTTTGTCTGTAGACTTTCTGTTAGGATAACAGAATGTGTATAGCCTGTTAGGAGCTTCCTTATTTATTGGACCTTATATTCCTAGGTTCCCTGTAATCACTAACTCTTCTAGTCTGTAATGCCCTTATCTTTTGAGATTAGAATCTCCCAAATCTCAGATTTCGGTTAATGCTAACATTTGTTAAGAAGTGGAGGAAAACAGTTTATTTGGCTCTTCTTATGGTTAAATACTAGATGTTTCAGGAGGCCAGTATACTTTCTCAGCACCTGCTTGGCTAATGCACTTTGACTGGATATGGTAATTTATTCCCTGTGATACTCTTGTTCTCTTCTGATGTGTGTCGTTGTCAAGTAGTGACAACTTTGATTGGAACTGCAACTTCCATAAAGGCTTCTTTGAATATTGATGACAGTATTCGATGGCCTTGGCTTTCAGAAAATCTTTTACTTTCCAAACCTCTTAAATTGTTTGTCGGGTTATGTTTCTTTCAAGGGTAGGGAAATTTTGCTTATATGAAACCTATGTCATGTTTAAGCTTAGGGCAGGCCATAATAAAAAGGGAGAAGATGGAATTAAAGGAAAGAAGCAAATATGAAAAAAAAATCTAAAACTTGAATACAAAAGGCAAGTGCTGCATCTTTTAGTATAACGGTGTTCAGAGATGAGTTTCCTTTCTCTTTTCAACATACTTATTCTTCCATAGCCTCATAAAAGCTAAAAGAGCTGATAAATAGCATATTTTACCTCATGCAAGATGATCTGTGGGAGACAAAAAACCCCAACCTACTATTATTGCCTTGTGACTCTTGATGCATCTACCTCCTGCTCTGATCATCGTATTTCATAAACTGCATTGTCTGTGATTCTTTGTACAACACCGAAAGTACTTCAGCCGCTGAACCAGGGCCTTGACCAAACTCCTCATTACTCGCTTCTTTATGTCCCAGCAAAGGGTTGAAAGGAAGCACTGTCCTTTGCCTGTCCTTTCAAACATTTTTTTGTTCTCTTGTTGACTGTTATGCTTCTTAAATGTGACATCTGCAAATACTCTGATGTACTCTCCTCTGTTTCTGTAGAATTTTTGTCTTTGCGGAACAGTTCAAACATGAGTTGCCTAGCTCTTAGTGCAAACTATGCTGTCACTCTTAAGCCTTTTGAGGAGCCCAGGTGTTAGCTTCCACTATTTAGTAAGCATTACACTCCTTTCAGCCCTCTCTGCAGAGGCCTTTTGAAATGTTATATGTATTTTATAATTATGAATTCTAATGTCACTTTTGATTCCTAGTTCAGATACAGTTCAGACTGGGAATCCTGTGTTTATCTTCCCTCCAGAATAAATGAAATTTGCTCTTTCTCTTTCAGGAGAAACTAAGGGGATTTTATGGACAATGACCTATTTACTTCTGTGGCTGTAATACTGTTTTAGTTTAGAAGAAAGAAAAACCTAAAATAAACAAGACAAATGACTAGAAAAATTGTTTTCAATTTGCAGCCTTGATATGTCTGGGAATGGAGTTTATAATTAACAACAACATACACAACTTCCCTTTATTTTTATTTTTCCTTGACTGCAGTAACAAAGAACAACGTCTTCATGCCATCAAGCTTCTGTGAACCCTCTACAGGCAATTCTGACTCAGAACCAGGTTTGCTTCCTCATTTTTCTGCTTTTTCTTGGCAAACTGCTGTCAGGCTGTCATGATCCAAAGTACTCCGAGACTTCAGATGTAAGACCCTATCTGGGAGAATGGAAGTCGTGATGGTTCTGATCTTAACGGTTGTTTTCTTGCTTGCTTCATTGCTTGATTTTGTGCTTGCTGGAGGTAATTGAAATAACAAATACCAAAATTCTTAAATGCTTTGGGAGTGGTGGTGGAAGACTGCAATATGACTCTATGCCCACCTGTTAACCTCAAGATAAAACTTAAGGGAAACTTTCATTTATCTACTTTGGATACTGTTTTTTTGGTATTGAAAATCAAATGGTCATGATGATATTTAGCCATGACCTGTGAACCCTGTGTTGACAGTACCGCTTATTTTGTTAATCACTGTTGTTCTGTGGTTTGGGTGTGTTAATATCGCTGTATAGCTCATTGTTATCTTTTGCTTAAATGGCATGAGAATAATGAAGTACAGTAAGGTGGTAAGGTGCTGAGTTGTCTTATTCTGAGCACAGCTATTATGCCCCTAAAATGAAACATTTTATAATTATACCTCTTAAGTTCTTAGGAACTCATTTTGTAATAGCTGTGGATTTATGAATATTTTGAGATTTTGGTATTTTATCTAAAAGCCTTAACTGTAATGAGTACAAGCAAAGGAATTTTTTACCTTCATCATATAAAAGCATAAGGCAAAAGCTAATGGAATTACAAGATACTAATATTAAGCAATGAAGTTTAATTTATGATAATTAGCAATTGGGTGCTTGTTAGCAGCTGTCATGTTCAGTCATACTTTTGATTGTCCTTTCTTTAGTTTGATTCTCACTATTAAGTACCTCTAAGTCCTTCACAGAAGGAACTCCATTTCTCTTGTGAAAATGGTCTGTTTCATGTTTCTCCACAAAATGGTTTTGAATTTTTTTCTTGCAACAACTTGTATTTCTGCCTTTGATGTATATTTGGTGTGATGATCACTGAAAATTCAGACTTCTTCTGGAAGAAGGGAATTTGTTCTTTGGGAATCTCCTTATGACTTTGGATATTTACAAAACTTTTGGGTTGTTACAATGAGGAAAGCGTGATGAATTTTATGACTGACTGAATGTATGTAGTATGTTACCGCTATGTCCTTGTAATTTTGTATTTTGCTCCTAGAGGAGAAGAGCAGTGGATTCCGGCTGAAGCCACCAATACTTATTCATGGTCAGGCACCTAGTGCAGGTGAGTTCAATATTTTCTGCAGCAGTACAAAGAAACCAGTTCAAGCATTTTATTTAGGAGTTTCCTCAAACTGCTATTGTAACTGGCAGGTGGCAATACCTATGTTTATGCAGAAAAAAATCTTGTATTCTCCAGAGCTGTTATGCCCATATCCACTGTGTAACGTGTATACACACATCCAAATTTTGGCTTGGATCAGTCGTGCATTTCTGAAACGTATCTCCCAGTTGTCTCTGCTTACCATGCTTTGATTCAATTCTTAAGAGTAGTCCTGGGCTCTATGAACTCAATTCCTTTGGTAGCAGACTGGAACAAAAGGGGTGTTCCAGGAGTGCACTGAACAAGTTCCAGCCATTAATGGGCACTCAGTCTGGGACCAGGCTAGAATGAAGTCTGAAATGTTGTTTGCTCCTCACTTCCTCCTCTCCCTGGCTTTTGACGATAGTGTGGATGTCAGGTCTTTGATCCTACCTGTTCTGCTGTACAGTTTGGCTATGTGGTTTGGCTCTTACTGAGTTACCTGTTTACTCATGTAGACCGAGCCAGTATAGGAAAGACATTAATATTACAGGTCCTTAGGAGTTTAAGAGAAAAAAAACCAACTATTTTGGTAATGGAAGTTGTTTGTTTTATATATGTATATATGGAAACTGTTTATTTTGTTTGCAGGAAGAGTAGTAAGTTTAAAAAAAGAACAAGTTTTTTTGAGCTGACATATGAATGGTTGAACTGAGGATCATTGTTATATTTTGAGTGTTGTCATGCCCTTTGAATATGGGTGGCCTGAAATGGAACTGCTTGCAGAATATCCAGCTGAGTTGCTATGAGTAACTTCTGTTGCAGTATTTTATTGGATCAAGAGTTCATCTTTGTTTTGTTCAGTGAAGAAAACTGAACCTTCTGGGATTGCCATAACCTTCTAGAGCTGATGTACAGATTTTTTTATTAGGTTGTTTAAGGTCAGTTGGCTTTTTGAGTCAGAGAGGAATTAAAGAATTGTAGTGCTGTGTATCTTACTAGAGCAAACCAGAGGCTAGGTTAATTCAAAAAGCCAAAAGGTTGTTAAATGAAACAACATGTAAGACTATTACACTACCAATACATTTGATTGTATGAAGAACAGAAAAAATACTGTTTACAGTATCTGGAAATTACTTCCTTGGAAGGAGAAAAGAAGACTTGGAATGTGTAGTTGAATAATATGTCAGTGAATAAATAGGATTGCTTGTGTACTGTTCACTTCTCAAGTTTTGACTTTTATTTCTGAGTCATTGTCATAAACTCTCCTTCTGTGTTTTCCTGGATAAGGTAGAGAATATATTTTAAAGTGTCTTTTAAGGCTAGGAAGTTGTCTTCTCTGTTTGGGACTAATTCTATTTTGAGGCTGAGTGAGGGATGGGAAAGAAGGGGGTGGAAGCTCTTTAAATGTCTGGTTTTCCATTGTATGTTCTGTTGAAAGCGGTTAGAGAAGATTAGATGAAGTTGAATTTTGCAACTTTAAAGCTTTATAGCTCTTGAAAAAACTTTGTATTTGCAGGTCTCCCTAGCCAGAAACCGAAGGAACAGCAGCGAAGTGTGCTACGTCCAGCAGTATTACAGGCACCACAGCCAAAAGCTTTCTCGCAGATGGGTAAATAATGCTTTTGCTTTCTAGAATACTGCAGAGGGAGAACAAAAACACAAAATCTGCTTAGTGTAGCGGTTTGTTTTTACTCAGCATCTGCCTTTGTTTTGCTAGGTTTCTCCTTTCAGAAAAGAAACATCTTAAATGTTAAGTATATCTGTATTACATAAGGGATAACACAGTTGAACCTTCAGGTTTTTTATAGGATGACTGTTTGATGTTGCCAGGCCTCTAACTTGAGTGTAGCCCATGCTTGGTTTTTGGAATAAAAATACTTTTAAGAGTGACAGCATTGACCATGGTGTAATAAGCTACTGCTCATCAATTGAACAGTAGTTGCTAGACTTCAGCTTGCTGCACAGTGATGTAAAATGCCTAAATCATAGGAGGTACCTCTAGGCTTGGGGACCATTTTGGAGTTGGGACTTTGAGATACACTTCTAATTCTTAGTTTGGTCATGTATATTATGCTTATTGTATTGTTATGGAATTTGATATAGCTAATAGAAATAGGCATCACTGAAAACTGGAAGTTAAAGTAAAAAAAAAGAGTTCAAGGTGTCTGTGTCTCCTAAACTCCTATGTTTCCCCAGCCCCCTGCCTTTTGTTATTTGGAAGTTCCGTTTAACTGAAACGGAAGTAACTTCAGTTAATGCTGAATCTGGCATAGAACCAAACATTTCTAGCTTGATTTCTTGGCATGCCTGTTGGCACAGATTGGACTCTACAGAGGACTTAATATTGGGGAACAAATTTTCAGTGGGAGTTCAGTATGTAAGTAGCTAGATCAGTCCAAAGAGGAGCCCTGCTGGCTGTGAACAGTATTAGATTGGAGCAGGGTGGTTGCCTGAAGTTGTATGTGTTGAAGTCCCTGCAGCGTTTGTATAGATTAAGTGTCTCCTTGCTGACTTGGCTTTCTGCATTTGGAATTTTAATTCTGCTAAGAATTGCTGAATTGTGGTCCTCATGTCTCTTGCAAAATACCATGGGAACTCTGGAGTTTCCATTGCAATGTTTCATGGACTTAAACAAGAAAACAGCATGCAATTTGCTATAGAAAACTTACTACTTTTAGGACAATCTAACTATCTAGAGAACTTGTCATTTTCTTGTTCCTTATTGCAGTTCTCAGCAGTGGCACCAATGGTGTAAATATCCTGCCAGATTCTGCAGCCACATCAGAATCACTAAGTAATGCAACACTGAAAAGTTCTGACTCTGAAGACAAGGTGAGTTGGAGAAGGATTGGAAGGACAATCAAGGTGACACGCTTTAAAATAGCATTCTCTGAACAGAGTCTGAATGTTTAGTAATGTGAGTGCAGTTTCATCAGTGATAGCCCCCTTATCTATCCATACTATGGTAGTACACTTTAGGTGTAGCAGTAGATTTTATACTGTCCTAATAGTATGCTATATTTATCTTTAACTCGAACTGTAACAAAGATTTACTGAATCCACAGTTTACGATGGTTTTCATACCTGTTTTCCCTCACAAAATTAAAAAAAACTGCTCAGTTCTACTCTCATTTGTTCCTTTTAGTCCCTCTAGCCTTATTTCTAGTCTTGCTGTAAAATCTTACTGCTGCTTGAGTGATGCCATTCCTACCATAGACATTAGATTCCTGTAATTTGGGTGTCTTGGTTAGCGGACTGATAGTCAGAATACTGCTTTTTCATCTGATCAGATTGCATGAAGAAATAAATCTTCCTCCTGCAGGTTCATCTCTTACTCCGTGTGCAGGGAGTGGGTCAGGAGAGTAGGGAATTGTCTTCTAGGGGGCGGGGGGGAAAGCTGTCTCCTCCAGTGGCTGTTGCCAGGTCTGCCTGGTGTTCCTGTCAGGCCAGAGACTAAGAAGCATTTACTGAATTCCTATTCCTGTCTGAAAAGGCTTTGGTTTTGAGCTGGGCGAACTGAGCAGTTTACGTTGCACGTGTTCAGTCTTCCTTCTCAGACTGCCTAGCAAAAAGTGGTCCCCTGCCCATGGATGATGGCTTTACTGGTGTTGTCTTGATTTCTAACAATTGAATGTGGAATGGTGTTGGGAAATGCGAGGATGGAAAGCATACAGGCAACTGAAGCGAATGAGTAACACATAAAGAAGCTCAGACAGGAGCTGATAGTGGGTAAAAACCCAGAGGCAGGAAGTAAATTCTGGAAATGGTGGAGGGAGAGTGCAGGCAATGAGGGGCTGAAAAGCTTCAGCTAGAGGAAAAGGCACCTAAGTGCATTAAAAGTTGTTTATTCGGTATCTTGAAAGGAAAGTAATGAAGTAGTTCCTTCCCTCTTCTGTGCAAAGTGTGTCCAGTCCTTTCTGTCCTGCAGGTATTGAGCTAACCATTGGCATTTTAAGATATGTTGACTGAGAGCATGAGGAGGATGTTTGGGTGTTTTGAGGGTGTGTGGGTTTTTTAGGGGTTTTTTTGATAGCTTCATTAGACAGCGGGTAGCTCTTTGATGCCATGTTGAGCATAGAAGTAGTATTGTTAGCAATGCAAAAGTATGCAATGGTTTATTTGAAATTCAAGTCTGAATTTTGAAATCTGAATATCTAAGCAGAAAGACTTCAAGTGTGAATGGCTTTTAAGGTTTAGTGAAAGACTACTGCCATAATTAAGTAGCAGTAAGTAAATTCATTGCATGGATCAGTATGAAGTCTTTGTGGAACATGCTTGTTACCTCTGTGTATGTCATTAGGGAGACGCTCTATGTATCTTTGATTAAAAAAGTCAACAAGACTTTTGGATGTTAAAGTCCAGAAATACTGACCTGGGAGGAAGTTTTCTGATAGAAGAAAGCTTTTAAATCTAGATGTTAAGGATCGCTGAAAACTAAACATTAAATGGTATAAAGCTTCATAACTGAACATTTGCGATTTTACCAAGGAGTGTGGTGGGATATTCTTCATTGTCTTGGCATTTGTAGTCAAGATAGACCATCTGCCTGAAGCTTTCTAGCACAGCTATAAAAGTAATTGGCATTCATACAGTAGTTGCGTTAAATGCTGGAGTCTCTCTGCAGAATATTAGATTGCTTGATAAGAGCGATGGTAATAGTCTGGAATTAAGTTTCATATTAGTAATTGTATGTGCAGATCTGTGGCATAGATTTGATGTACCACAGAGACAAAGCTTCCTTGTTGAGGGCAAGTACATGGTATTTTGCAGTTATGTATGAGCCTGGTCTGCCCTTGTTAGAGCAGATGTGAGTCATGGTCTTATTTTACTGGCAGAAAAGATTTTTCTTTGAGGTATCTGTCTTGTGCTTATACAAGGTATCAGGGTGGGAATGTTCTCTATCTGGTTGTTGTCCTACTCTGAGCATCTTGGTGGCAACCTGTATCTATCTGGGCTAGGCCTTGTCTCTGTCTTGAAAATCCCCAGGAAACTGCAGGAGCCCTAAGCCACATAGTCCATAGATGGGTACAAGCTACAGCCTTCTAGTCAACCTCCCTTGACTGGTGGAAGAGTCTAGTGGCAGAAAAAGGATGTCTTTGAAATGCCAGAATTAGAATCTGGAGGCGGATGATACAGCTAGGTTATGCAAAGGTTATGTCCCTTAAACATAAAATGGGATTTGCAAAACTCCTTTGGACCCAATCCAGTGTCTTTTTCCACTGCTTTCTTTCCCCTGTGCAATATGTGCGGAAAGTGCCATGGCTGGCAGCCCATCTGAAGCACCTGTAGACAACACCACCCTGCATGAGAAACTAACAGGAGGAATTGGAGATCTATGTGCAGTGGCAGTTCTGTAACCTCACTGGGATCACAGATATAGGAGGTTCACTTGGACAACTGGAGTACTGCATTGGATACATATGGGCTTTTTAGGAAGTAAAGCAGGAAAGACGAGAAGAGGATGGTTTCTGCTATGCTCAAAGCAGCTGCTTGAATGCAGGGGGTTTAGTTTGGGAAAGGTGCTGAGTTGGTCAAGGCTTTATAGGTTAAGATCAGAGGGGAAGCCAACAAGGAGGAGATTAAGGTGAACCTTCACTAGAGTTGGACCGATCAAGAGAAGAAAGTACTAAAGCCCTTGGAGAACTAGAAGCTTCACAGTTGCAGGCCTTGGTTCTAAAGGGAAACTTCAAGTACTTTGGCATCGGATATAATGGCAACATGTCCTGGTAGAAATACTCCTGGAGATTTTAGGACTAAGTTGAGGACAGGTTTTTTTTTGATACAGGTGCTGGTTAAGTTGATCAGTGAGGTACTCAGCTGGACCTGGTATTCATAGCAAAGAACTGCTTAGAAATACAAAGGTTGAGAGTAGCTGTGACTGCAGCAGCTGTGAGATGGAGTTTGAGATCCTGAGAGAAATGGGGAAGATAAGTAGCGGAGTAAAGACCCAAACTCCAGGAGAGAAGACTTCAGCTTGTTCATCGAGCTTGTTGGTAGCATCCTGAAGGACAGAAGGACTCAGGAGAGCTTGTTATCTTTATGGACAACCACCTCAGAGAATGAGTAGTTTATCCCAATATGCAGGAAGTCGTGCAAGTGTGGCAGGAGGCCAACATGGATGAAATAGGAGCTCCTTAAATACAGAAAGGGAGTGTACATAAGTTGGAAAAAGAAGTCAAGGTACACGAGAGGTATACAAAAGGATTGCCTGGATGTGTGGGGAGAGAACTGGGAAATCCAAAGCTTAGCTGGAGTTGGAAATGACCAGGGATGAAAGGGCTGCAAGAAGGGCTTCTACTGGTGCATTAGCAGCAAAAGCAAGATGAAGGAAAAATGTAGGCCTGCTGCCAAATGTTGGAGGGAACCTAGTGATGAAAGACATGAAAAAAATCTGAGGGAGTCAATGCCTTTGCCTTGTTTTTTACTGGACAGGTCTGCTGTCAGGTCTACCAGGTCCCTTTTCCTAGGGAAGGTTTATTACAGTAAATTTGCTTAAGGACCATCTAAGATGGGACGAGACAGGATGCATCCATGGGCACTGAGGGAGCTAGCTGGTGTTACTGTGAGACCACCACCTATCATCAAAATGTTGTGGTACTGTGGGAGGTCCCTGTTACTGGGGAAGAAGAGAACATGGCACACATTTTCAAGAAGGGCAAGAAGGAGGATCCAGGAAAGTAGAAACTGCTCAGCCCCTTCCTCTCCCTTCCTGGTCAAGGAGTCCTAGGATATGAAGCACCTTAAAGTGCTTGAGAACAGCCAGCATGGATAAAACATAGTGACCAAGCTGATTTGCCCCCCCCCCTCCCCCCGAGATGAAATTGGAGAGAAATGTACTGGTTGGGTGGAATTTAAAGTGGGTGGAAAATTGGCTGAACCAGTGAGCTTCAAGGGTAGTAGTCAGTGGTTCAAAGTCTGATGAGCAGCCAGTTACTAGAGACATTCCTTTAGGGCTGATACTGAGGTCAGTACTATTTAATGTTTACATGAACAACCTGGCGAGGTGGAATGAATCTTACTAAGTTTGTGGGTGCCAGTAAACTGAGGGAAGGAGAAAATGGTCAATATGTTGGAAGGCAGGGATGCAGAGGGATCTCAGCAGGCTGGAAAAATGAGCCAAGAGAAACCAACTGATGGTCAACAAATGCAGTCCTGTACCTGGGGTGAGATAACCCATGTGTCACAAGGACCGGAGAGTGATGGGCTAGAAAGCAGCTATGCAGACAAGTGCTTGGAGACCCTGGTGTTGCATGAAGGATGCTGACACAAGTTCTCGTGTACAGAATTTATTAGCAGGGTCTATAGCTGATAATATGACTTTTAAGGGTGACAGTTATTTATTTTGTAGGAGAGCAAAAGGGGAAAGGAAAGGGAAAATTTCCCATGGGCCAGCCAGGAAGACAAGTGACAGGGGCTCCCCAGACAGGCATCTTCCCCCGGGCATACTCTCCAGTGGAGCAGGTGGTACCCCATAATAGTCTTCCTGCAGTAACTATATAGTTTTCATCAGGATATGCTCAAACTTTCTCCTGTGTTTTTTTCTGTGTGTGATGCTGTTAGTGCTGATTGGAGCATGCTTTAATGAGGGGCAGCTGCTGTGTGCTGATTAGTTGTTAGGCTTTGTGTGCATATTGTTGGGTCTTCTAATGTAAATCAAAAGCTACAGAGTAGGAAATTAGGAGAGAAAAGGGAGGGGGCAATTCCTGTGCTGGTTGCAATTGCTTCCCAACACCACTATAGGGGTTTGCAGGTGCAAGGCCCTGAGTATAATGGGATGAGAATAATAGGAGAAAATACTGCCACAGGTGCTCTGGAAAACACTGCCATGGCAGCTGCAGTGAAAGGTTAGAGCTGCTAATGCAGAGGTGCAGATAGAAGGTCCTTAGCACAGCAAAAGGTTCAGGAACCTTGAGGTCTTGCGCAACAGTGATGAACAACAAGTTGAACATGAATGAGCGGTGCATCCTTTTATTGATTAAGACAACGTACTGATCTGCTTTACTAAGACTGCAGCCATTAGGTTCAGAAAAGTGATTACTCCCCTTTACTTGCTACTGGTGGGTGTATAGTTTGGGGCTTGCCAGTAAATAAAAGGCATTTACAAACCACCAAGGTGACTAGTGGCTGGGGCACATGATGTCTGAGAGTGAAAAAGCTGAGTATGTTCTGCTTGGACTAGAGGAGGGGAATTGAATTTTCTCCTCGCCTATTTAGTGGTGGGCTGTAACAAGATAAAATGAGACTTCGAAGCACCTACCAAACAAATGAGAGGCTGCAAGTGTGGGAAAGGGAGATTCCAGTTGGGTATTAGGACAAAACTGCCATATTTAGTGCAGTCGAACATTGAACCAGGCTATGCAAACTGTAAAACTGCCATCCTTTATTTTTTTTTTGAAACTTGACTGTATGAGGTCTTAGGTAGCCTAGCATAATTTTGAAGTTGGTGCTGCTTTGAGCACGGTTTGGACCAAACAATTTAGAGATCCCCTTGAACCTTAACTATTCTGTGATTCATTAAGAAAGACGTTCTAAACAACAACAGAGGATTTTTTAAATGTAAAATTTGCCTTGTAGCTCTGGAGATGTTACTGGCTTGTCATTGTAAATGACTGTGTACCTCACCATTTCATAATGTGTGGGTTTCGTTTAAATAAACTCAATTACCTAGGCTAAAGTTTTCAATTTATTTTCTTTAGGCAGGAGAATGTCAGAAAAAAGAGTCCAACAATACTTCAGATGATGACAGCTGTGAGAAGGCGGAACTAAATGCACAGCAAGCATTTGTATTTGGGCAAAACTTAAGAGATAGAGTTAAGGTAAACGTGTTCGTTATCTCGACTAAGGGTTGATGTGTTAAGTGAGGATAAGCAGCAGTGGAACAGATCATTTGTTGGCATGAACATTACACACTGTTTATGAAGTACTTTGAAGCCACTATATGATGGGGTTAAAACCTCCATGTATATATGCAAGATTAGAAGCTGTAAACACAGTTTGGTTGGCTGTTTAGTAAAACCAGTCTTCCAGACACTTAATAAATTAATATTACTGCTTAGTAGCATAAGAAGCTTTTTCAAAAATAAATGCGTCTGTTGCAAGCATAGGTAACATCTAAAGCTCAGTGTGATGTAATGTTTTCTCTTACCTTTTGGGTCAGAATTCAGTTGAAACATGTTCCTAAGATGCTCCCACGCAACCAAGATTTCACAGAAAAGAAAAATAGGGCAGCCTGAGTTCAAACCTGTGCATGGAGTAATTGAGTTGCATTGTTAGTACCTCCTGTTGAAGACAGGTTTGCGCAGATTTCCTAGCATAATGAAAGAAAGTGTAATACTGGGACGTAGGCTTATATTGTTTTACTGCAGAAAGTGTTTGTGGAGGGAACTTTGTCTTGGAAGTGGTCAGAAATTAAAACTGTCAATATGTACTTGTTCTTTTTGTAGCTAGGAGATGAAAGCGATGAAACTGCCGATGTGCAGAATGCTGGCCTTCCAACATCAGATGTACCTTCTGCAACAAATTATTTTCTGCAGTACATCAGTTCCAGGTGAGACTACAGGGAAACCTATAGGACAGTTTTCCTTACTTCTGTGTTCAAAATTACTTGTGGTTCTGTTCTTTATTGGATGCAGGGCTTAGACTGGGTCAGTGGGAACCTAGGCTTTTGAAGAATGAGGTGGCAAACTTCAGATCTGAGGGAATCCTCAATCATCTGGTCAAGGGAGATGTATTTGACACCATTTACTTGACCAGGTCCTCACCAAAGCCTCTTCAGAAAACTAACAAGCACAAGATGAGAGAAGTCTTATCATGAATGATTAGAAAGAAACAGTGATGGAATAAACTGGAGCTACCAGTAGAATCCTGTAGAGATCTGTGCTGTATTTGTGGTGTTCAATATGTTTCATATATGATATGGATAAAGGGAAGAATAGCTTAAAAAAAGTCATTTGTTCATGATAATTTTTTCAGAGCATTAGAGGCCTGTATGAATAAGCAGGAACCTAACTGTGGGAGGTCTTTGAGAGAATTTGATTAGGCAATACCATCAGAAGAAATTTGATGTAGGTATATGTAAAGTGAGGCAGCCAGGAGAAAAACTGTGCTAATTCTATATATACAGTATGAGCTCTGAACTGACAGCCTTCACTTAAGGCTAAGATGTCGATACTGCTCTACGAAAATCTTAGCTCAGTAGTGGTCAAAAAAATCAAGTAGTATTATAGAAAGAATAGAAAACAGAAGAGAATTTCTTAGTACACAGAGCTGTGAATTCAAGTAATAACTGGAAAAGCACAGGGGGGAAATCCCACTGAGAGCAGTGGAGTAGAGCGACATATCTGCTTCTGGAAGAACCTGAACTGCAGATTGTTTGAGGCCATGAAATAATTGTAGGAAAAGCACCAATGTGTGCTTGCCTTGTCCTTATACTCTGCATTTTTAAGACCCTGTTGTTCACCTGCACGGCCTTCACCACAAAGTAGGCACTAGGTAGTTTTGCAGTCTTAATCCCTTTTGACATTGAGATTTTCAGATGATGCACTGGAGAGGTAGAGAACACCACGGAGTGACTGTGGATGCCAGGTCGATGCCTTTCCAGAGACGCTGTCAGATTTTTTAATCAGATTTGGTAGACAATAACTTCTAATATGTGGGCTTCAACTATTGGAATATTTGTTTATATCTTTCAACCTGTATGATGACACCTACTGCCATATTTCGATTGAATCTTCGCTTTGGGAGGATTTATTCATGGTAGGTCAGTTGCCAGAAACCTACTTTTGGGTTTGTCTTTAAAAAAATAAGCATCTCTAAGTGGAGTTGGCTCTAGTTTTTAGCTATCAGAGATGGCAAGACATTATGGCAGTCAACTTGTAAAAGAAAAACTCCTCCCTTTGTGTAACACACTGCCAGCCCTTTAAAAATTGTAAATGTACTCGGTCACATGGCAGATATCAGTAGATCATATTGAGTTCCCAGTTGGCATTTGGAGCTCAGAACTGTGGTATTTAATTCCCTTAGTAGGCAAAACTTTCTTCCCCTGAGGATTTCCTCTGTTCTTTGAATCTCCTTAATCAGAAGTAGCAACTCTACATGCAGGATTTAAAGGTTTGTTTGGTTCCACTTGAATAGTGTAGTGACATATGTGCCCCCATTTTCCAAACTTAGTGAAATGCATGTAGGCTTGATTTCAAATGGTCTGCGTTCGGCATGTTCACTTAGTAAGCATGTTGATGGCTTAGAGTGGTATGCCTGAAGGGAAGGCAGATGAACAATGACTTGTTAAGTTTTTCAGTCTATAAAATAGTAAAACTATTGTCCTTCCTAAATGGGATTTAGAATCTATTAATAAAAATGCCACATGGGAGGAGGATGCTTATTCTACAAGGAAGATGTGAGGGCTGAGATTTGATTGTGAAACTTCTTGGGGAGGCTGTAGTGTTGCGGGTAGTCCAATAAAAGGCATTACTTATCCCTGTTACCTTCGCTGCAGTTATGATATTGCAAGTGGCTTTGTTCCCATTTGTTCCCTTTCTGAGAAAATTGACCTAAAAACATGCAGTGGTTCACGTTTATGCATGTAGAATACTGTTAAAAAAAGTATGTTATATGATTAAACAGTAAGCCCTCACTTAGCATTCAGCATTACTTAATATGTAATTAGATATATAAAGGGAAGATATTTACAGTGACAAAATAATTTGCCATTATTCTGAATTCTCATTCTGTAAAACCACTATGTACTCTCGTGTTACTAAGTTGAATTAATTTTTGCTTATGTTTCTGTGTGAACCAACGCTTAATTTTTAAAGCCAGTGCTAATCGCTCACTTTTTGAGGAATTTTATCAGAAGATAAACAGATATTTTTGACTTACAAAACCTGTTTTTTTTTTCTTTCAGTGTAGAGAACTCTACAAACAGTGCAGATGTATCTAGCAACAAATTTGTTTTTGGACAGAACATGAGTGAGCGAGTCCTAGTGAGTATCCACTGTGTATGAAATGTTGTAATTTTGTGAGTAGTTTGCGTTATGGATTCTCACTCAGAAATTTTGAGAACTTTTCATTATACTTGTCACTGGAGCACGGTTTTCTTTCAGTGGTTTCCCTTGTAGGTAACTTATTTTGAGTGCAGTGTGGGGATTCCATTACAAGCTATTGTCTGCAACAGTAGTGCTCTCCAGGATTTCCCTGACAAGCTCTACCAGTGTAAGGAGATTGAGTGCCTTCTCTGTAGTGCATGTGGTTCTCAAGTCCAAGCACTTTATGGCACAGCTTACTACTTTAAATGGCTTCATCAGTATAAATATTTGAGGGTGTTTTATGTTTGTTGTCCTCCAAATTGAGAAAAGGTCAGTTATGTGACTCTCCCAGTGATGGGATTTCAAGTCCAGCAGTAAGGCAGCTGCCTCAGCACTGAGGTATGACTCAGGAAGTTCTGTGTTTATCGTGTAAGGTGTAACGTCCAGTGCCTCACTGTTTCCTACTGTTGCTTTTACTGCTATGCTGGTACAAAAGGGAAATGCTTAATGCTGTGCATTCATACCTGTCTAACCACTGAGCAGGGAGTTCAGTCAAGTATGCCTTGAGTTGATCTGAGGCTGAAATTGGTTTGCTTTGTTGAACAAAACTTCAAAATAAGGGTTGAAATTTGGTTTCAGTTCAGGAGAAAATAATTTGAACTGGTTTTCAGGTCATGCTCCATTCAATTCCTTGGCCAGGGTAGTAGGATAGCTTTTACTGTGAAAGCATGTCATCTGTGGGATTTTTTTTGCTGTATGGTTTATAAACACCAGGGCTTTCCTTAGTAATTGATCACTAGTCTTGTTCTGCAAAATCAGAGTATGCTTTCTCTCTTCTGTTTACCTCCTCTTCTTTTTGCAATAGAGTCCACCAAAATCAAATGAAGGTAGTACAGAGAGTAATAAGGAGAATGCTGCTACAGAGTCTGGGTCTGAATCATCTTCTCAGGAAGCCACACCAGAGAAAGGTGAAAAACAAAATATTATTTTAGGAATGGTAGTTAATCCTTGTTTAAATGATTGCATTTTTCAGTATCCTGTTACTTTATAAAAACATAACATTTTTATGTTGCCTTTACTGTCTGCTGTAAGCAAAGATACAGGCTTGGGGTGGGAGGTGATGTGCTGGATGCCATAGATTCTCTTGTACTTTTGTCTTTAATATTAAACATGTACAGGGTACACTGTCTTTTTTTCATGGTCGTTCTGTGGTATTGGGAGTATCTTCAGCAGAATGAAAGTAGAGGGAGTTAACAGAGCAGGTACTTGAACCTACAGAGCGTAGAAGAAATGTGGCAAACTGTTTTTTAACAATTCTATTACACTTCCAGTGACTGAATGTCTGAGTCAAATTTATGTTGTATTGAGTGGGTGCACCAAATGTGTTGCTTGAACCAAGAACTGTTTGCTGGATTCTAGACTTCTGTGACTCTTCAGATTGACAAGATTATCTGGACATTGTGGGAGCTATGGGTTTTCTCCAGCAAACTGCTTGCAAGCCAAAATAAAAGTGGAAAATGAACCATGCTGTACATGTGTAGGCACAGCTGTATAGCTGGTAGCAGTATCAGTTCTGCTGGAACACCTACAGATATGTAGGTGTCCATGTGTTAGCAAAGGTTTTAAGATATTGTATGCGGGGACAAAATTTTCCAGTAACTTACCTCTTCTGTCCCTTGTGTCTTCTGCTTTTAGAACAAGTCTTAAAAGACAAGCTTTAACTTCTTTAAATTTCAATCCTATTTCTAATGTTCTATTAATGTCTGTCTTCTGTACTTTAGTTCTCCAAATTCTACTTGTGTGAGACCTTTATAAATCTGAAAAAATTATGCTATTCATTCTCAAACTTTCAAAATGTTGTTCAGCTAATAACATTTCAGAATCACTGGCAGAGTCTGCAGCAGCCTATACTAAAGCAACAGCAAGGAAGTGTTTATTAGCGAAGGTAGAAGTGATTACTGGGGAGGAAGCTGAAAGTAATGTGTTACAGGTAAGAAACAGATGAAGTAGAGCTTTGAGTTTATGGGGATTCATATGGATGTCCAGTGAATGCACGCCACCTGATTCCCTACAACTCAGACATCCTCTGTATCTCTAATGTACTTTCTTGTGTTAAAATGCAAATTTTCAATATTTATTATCAGATCCTTATTTTGTTTGTTGATTTCCTCCTTCTGAATGAATGTTAGTGTTTGGGCTGTCCAGACAAATCTTAAGCATACTTTCCTGAATCCATCACACAAAAGCTTCTGTCTTCTACAAAACAATTATTTGAAAAAAACTTAAATGAACTAAATATTTTTAAGTTCTTTAATTATTGTACTACTGAAGATTTTTTTAAAACTCAGGATGGACTATTATGCCAGCAATCTGGTTTCTTGCGTAGCAGAAACCATAAAACAGTACTCAGGAATTTGTCTTGAGGGACTTAATTGAATTAGTGACGTTTTAGAAGGGCATTTGGTCATGACTTAGGCTCCTCACTTTAATCATGATTTATTTAACATTGTAGTTATGCATTAACTTAAGTATATTTAAGTTCAGTACATCCTTAAAAACGTGCAGGGTTTTCGTGTAAAACTAAGTGGTATATATTTTTTCTTCCTCTTTATCCTCCAGTTATAGGTTTTTTTTCTTGAGATCTCTTAAGTTTCTCAGCACTTGAACTGCATTATTTAAGGTTAGCTTTTTGTTCTTACAGACATGCTGGTCTATTCTGACACTGAACAGATGCACTGTGTCAGTAACTAATGCGTATCAGTTACACTTGTATTATCCTACAAAATAATCTATAACATTTGTAGTCTTGTACTTCTTTTTACCAGACATGAATAGTCTTTAAATAGTTGTTCTGGTACTTCTCTGTTTCTGTATAATTCAGAAACTCCTGGATGCTTATGTAATCGAACAAGACACCAAAGAGATGAAAGTCCTGTTTCACTTAGGAAAACAACTTTTAGTAATTGTATACTTAATAGAGGACTGCTTTGCATGAATACGTTGTAACTTAACAGACCTCTCACCTACCTTGTTCTTTTTTCCTGTGAAATTTAATGCACTGGAATCCTGAATGGAACTTGTACAGACAGAACTATGTTAATGTTGCAGAAATGAAGTATGCAGAGCTAGGTGTTCTATGTTGGAGAAAATTAGAGAAATGGATGGAATGAAAAATGGAAATATATTTTCCACCTAGTGCATACACATGTGTGGGGAACTTGAGGGGTGATGGTTTGAGGTAGAAACCTCAGCAGTGACAACAAAGATGGATTAGAGAGGAGGATATAAAGTAGAAATGTTTAGCAGGGCAGGAAAAAGGGAGCTTTTATGGAAAGCAGGAACAGTCCTACCATTAGAAAGTATAAAAGGTGTACTTTTTCAAACTGATGAACCAGGAAGGCAGGAAAAACACCTCTTGTTTATTCATGACTTTGTGTGGGTCAGGCTTTATGAATTGATAATTAACTAACATGTTTGTTCATCCTTTCTTCCTTAATACAGGAAGAATTTTGCTTTGCTTTCATTGTGCTGGGTCTTCCCAGTAACAAATACCACCTTCAGTGGTGCAAAGCGTGCACCTAAGAGTTCTAAAAGAATTGAGTGATTTAAGACTGTAGATGACTCTTACCCAGTCTCTTATCACGATAAGTTTCTTCTGTGAAAGTTTGTACCTTATCTGAAAATTGTTCTTGTTGTTTGATCTTGAACACAGGTATTCTTAAAGAATATCTACCTTCTGTTAATAAAACCTTATGAAACCAGATAGCATATTTTGAGGAATTATTGCAAGAGAGGATGACTAATTTGGTTTCTGCAGCTATAAACAGTTTAAAATTCCAATATGAAATCTGAGGGTTTTTTAACCAGCTGTAGGTGACTAAATATGAAATATATTATTACTTCAGTGAACCACTACGCTATAGAGATATTTTCTGTTACAGATTCAGTGCAAGCTGTTTGTATTTGATAAAAACTCTCAGTCTTGGGTGGAAAGAGGCCGAGGACTTCTGAGACTCAATGATATGGCCTCAACAGATGATGGAACATTACAGTCTCGACTGGGTAAGAGGAACCAGGGGAAATGAGGTACTGGATGATAGTCAGTGCTGTCTTTATAGGATGCTTCCATGACACACAGCAGCATTCACTTTAGGGTTGTGTCTTAGCTACAGCAACTCAGAAAGCAGTTTGGACCTTTTCTCTTGCTTCAATTTATGACCATTTCTTCCAAAGAGGGTGTCTTTTCATATCTTCCTATTGTAGCAAATATTCCAGTTACTTTTTTCCCCATGAAAGCAAGTTGTATTTAGCAACTAGAATATTTGACTAGAAAATTATGGTAACATTCTTCAGATCTGGGCTCTTTGCTTTTTTGGGATGGGGTGCTTGTGGGGGGAAGTCTCTTTGAATAGTGCACGATTGTTCAAACTGGCAGGAATGTGCATGTCTGAGATTAATCAGCTCAGATCCCACCACTGAACTTCGTATTAACATGTAAGACTTCGGACTAAATATCTTTAGACATGACTGATCATCTTTAATAGCCTACATTCTTCTGATTAACATTTGACAAGTTTTCTGTTTCAAGGGCTTTCCCTTGATATTCTTTGTAAAGAGACTTAAACATTCACACAATAAAAAGCCATCTGGACTCTTTTGAGCTTCCCATTGTCTTTTTCCATCTAACTGATCTTGTATGTTGTCTTTAGTGATGAGGACTCAGGGGAGTCTCAGGTTAATCTTAAATACCAAGCTGTGGGCTCAGATGCAGATCGATAAAGCCAGTGAGAAGAGTATCCGGATCACTGCCATGGATACAGAGGACCAGGGAGTTAAAGTTTTTCTTATATCAGTGAGTACTGTTTTTTTGTTTACGTCTCAACCTTCCTACTAAAATTGGTGCTTGATTAAATTGTAGTTGAGGTAACATTCCCATTCTTCTTTGCACCCTACCTCCTTACCACCACCCCCTCCCCAAAGACAAGGGGCTTGGCAGACTTTGCTTGTCTGAAAAACCTTACTAATTGTGAAGAAATTCCACATAAAAGGCTGCTCTAGGAAGCCAGATTGTCCAAAGCATTGACCATGGTGTCATGGGATCTGTTCCATGCCTATTAAGGCTGTAACTGTAGTGTAACATTAATGCTAGTCACTTTTTGTTATCAAGGGAAATAGATGATGACAGCTTTCTCACGTTACAAGTTCTGGTAGATCTAATTTTGGTTAAGCTACTACATAGAAATCTATGAAATGTCTGTCTACAGCGTGGGCGGATGTATAGGTGCTCACTGGAAGTGAAACACTAAATATCTGTTAAGAACATGGCGTTAGTAGTTAAGGGTAACACATTTTAACTTTGATTTTCTTTTAATACAGAGTATTCCAAGCAGTAGCAGGACAGTCAGAGTGATTTCTGTGCTTGCTAAATGGGGAAACAGCAATCCCAATTAGAATTACTAAAACACTTGGGAGATTATGATACAGTCAGCAAGAAAGAAAGGTCATTCCCTAATGTCTGCTAAGAGCACTTACAGATTTTGAGAGGTCTGAACACATTCTTTGACTTACACTGGTTCTACACAAGGGGTTGCTAAAGAATTAAGTGTTTTTATGGATCAGACACTAAAACAGCAACAAGTGGTCAGCTTCCTCTGTGACATTAGGTTTGTAGGACTGGGATCCGGAGTCCCAGAGTGAAACTTAATGACACCGAATATCCATTGATGAAGAAAAAGCAGTGAAATTAATGGATAACTCTTTTTTCTGAGCATTTTTCTAGATTTGACAAGTTTGAGTTAGTCTGTCATCAGGTTATTCACTATTGATTTTAGTATTGAAAAAAAGTATCTTGTATGGAATAATTTATTCACTGCAGCTCATTGCAGGAGACTTTTGCAGATATAGAGGACAGGTTTAAGTGACAGATGGGGAGGACAGAAACAATTTTTTTAATGAAAGAATCTGAGAAGTGGGATCGTTACCTTACAGTTAACTTGAGGTAATGGTAATAGTTAATATGAGGACTTCATTGATACAGTGAAGACAAAGTTTCATAGTATTCAGAAGGCAGTTGCCTTTTAAATAATATCCATTAAATACTTAGTTCAATAGGCCTAAAAATTGATTCTTTTGAAGGCATGAAGTCGCCATTAGCCTTGAGTGTAAAAAAAAAAAAAAAATTCTTGGACAGGTTGTTACAAATGCTTCCCTCTGAAACAGCTGACCAGTATAAGAGTGTAAAAAATTTTTTGAATAATCACTTGCCTGACTGTATGTCCATTCAGTTTTCTCGTATCTTATGTTGAAATTCTATGTTGGTGCATCATGAAACAGTTAAGTGACTTGATTATGATTAATATGTGAAGTTGAGTGATTGACAAACCTGGAAAAATCTGTGCAAGACAAACTTCTAATTAAAAAGATCTTTTTAGTGTAAGCTTTTGGGGGGTGTCAGGAAAGCTGTGTGACTATTGGGTGAAGAAGGTTATATAAAATCAGCTGGTACTGGTTATGTTAGCCAGAGAAAGTTGGCACTGAGCAGAGGGGAATATACTCTTGCCATCAGTTTAGTATATCTAGCATCTTGCTGTGTTTATCACAACCCATTCTGACCTAGTTTGAAAAACCCTGTATGAGAAAACTGAAAAGTAGATTGTGAAATTTGGCATGATTGGTGTGTACTATGTAAGCAGTGTTTTATTCTGTTATAATTCCTTGCACCTTTTTCTTGTTTCTGAATATTAAAAAAATGTAGGCAAGCTCTAAAGATACAGGGCAGTTGTATGCTGCATTACACCATCGGATCTTGGCCTTGCGGAGTAGAGTGGAACAAGAGCAAGAAGTCAAGAATGTAGCACCTGAGCCAGAGGTAACGCAATCAAATGAGGAAGACAGTGATGATGATGTCATTGCACCTTCAGGATCAGTTGGAAGTGGTAAGCAAGAAAGACAATGGCGTTTCCTGTTTTCCATACATTTTTCTCGTTGTTCTTTAAGGCAGACTGTCCTCTCTATAACTGTATATTATAGATGTACTTCTGGCCTGGTATTTCTCACAGGTGTTTGTGGAATGAGACTTACTGCATGAATTGCCTTTTTGAATGCAACTGTTTCTTGCTACTTCTCCAAACTGGTAAAAAGGCCCCTGTGCTGCTTCCATCTGAGTTACATGTCACAGTTTAGCAGAGGTTATCTGTGCTTCAATTAGTTCTAGTTTTGTTTACAGGATTTCTAAGGGGTGGTTGTGAGTTTCATTTTTGCCTTCAACTTGGCCAAGGCTTGCATGTAAAACCCGAGATGACTGTCTTGGGCTACTTTCTGCAGGCAGGATCCAGACTGACCCTTGAGTAGAGTGC